TAAAAAATCAGAACAAACTACCAAAACCCCCCAACTTTTCCCCAGTAGTTTATCTCTTTCCCTCTAAATAAACTTATATTAGAATAATAGAGGCATCTTCCACAAATAGCAACCAGTAGGTACAGACTGATCACATGTCCTTACTGTGGCAGTGGCTGTGTTTCAGTGATAGCCCCACATCACAGATACTAACGTCATCACTCCATTGATTTTCAAATGTGAAGGACTCTAGTGACACCCACATTTACTTGTTGGATCTTTGGTGATAAAGGAGAATCTTTGTCATCTGCAGGACCTTAGGTTCATTATTTTTTTGTCATATGGAATGAAATGAATGACTCAGATGTTCTCTTTCTCATCTGTTTAGAATGTATCCTGTGGTATAATCGATTGTAGAGTACCACAGGACATCTTGGAAGAATAATATATGTGTCATCATTTAATTGGCAGTGCTATTTCCTGTTTTGTTGATCTCTCTCACTGGCTGGTTCCCAGATACCTGAGCAGTAAAGAATCCACCTTGCAATGCAGGAGACGCGCGTTTGATCCCTGGGTCAGGAAGATTCCCTACAGGAGGAAATGGCAACCCACTGCCTGAAAAATCCCATGGTCAGAGGAGCCTGTTGGGCTATACAGCCCAAAGGGTTGCAGAGAGTCACACTGAGTGATTGAGCACACTCATTGACTGCACCAAAATAATTGTTTTCTATTCTGGTGGTCTGACCTATTATTTTATTACAGTTATTTAGAAAGTCTTATACCCACCAATTAGAGAACAGTTCTGAGATACACCAAGAAACTTGATTGGAAGTCATTTTTACTAATTTGCCTTCTGATCTGCTTTTTGGAGTTAAAAGCGGAAGTATGGCTGCCCCAATAATGAGAAATTCATGGTAAATAGTGCCGCACATCCTCTCCAGCTCTCCCTGCCTGTGTTAGACATTTGTAATTAGTTATGGCATTGTTTCTCAGTGTACCTCCTATCAAGTCTCAGCATAGCACTTCAGGTCACTACTACCAGTCAGATTTAGCACTTAAGATGCTAGGACTGGCCTTCCTTGTGTAACCCTTTCTTTTTCACTCTGCACAAAACACCACTTTGTATGTCTATGCCTAGAGGCTTGTCTAAACACGGTTATACCCCAGCTTACGTTTTGCGTGTTGTTTCTCCCTCCCTTGTGCTGTTGTTTGTGGTACCTGCCGAACAAATTTCGTAACCAAATAAAGGTGTCACTGGCTTGCCTGGTGGCTCACTCGCTGAAGAATCTGCATGCAGGTTCCTCTATCTGCAATAGAGGAGACCAGATTTCAGTCCCTGGGTCGGGAAGTTCCCCCAGAGAAGGAAATGGATACCCACTCCAGTATTCTTGCCTGGAGAATCCCATGGACAGAGGAGCCTGAAAGGCTGCAGTCCACCGGGTTGCAAAGAGTAGGACAAGATTGAGTGACCGCACCACCACCAAAGGTGTCTGTATAATAATGGTGGTAACAGCTGGCAAGTATTGAGGAGTTACCGTGTGTCAGGCAGTCTGCTCCGTGCTTAATATGTATTATTTCAGTGAATCCTTATAACAACTCTGTATGAGTTAGGCACCATTATTATTCCCATTTTACAGGTGGAGAAGCTAGGGCAAGTCTAAATAACTGGTGAATGAAAGAACCTGGATTTGAACTGAGGTTATTTGTTTTCTTAGCTCAAATTCTTTACCTCTGAGCTGTTAACCTCCCTAAGAAGTGAAGGCTGGGTTAATGTGAAAATGATTCAGAACAAGGTTTTGTCTGTGCTGTCACAAGGCTAAAATAAAAGCCACTACCTGTGTATTTTCCAAGAAAATATTAAAAAAAAAAAAGTCTTTTGGAAGACTTCATAAATATGATTTAAGTTTTTATTAACCTCTGTTGCTTTTATCTTTCCATATCTCAGACAGCCTTTATAATTTTTGAGAGAGGAGCTATCTGGCTGTCTTATACATTCACAGATGGCATTATTTTATCTGTCCTCATACCATCTGCAGCATCAACATAATCTATTTCAATTGGTGTCTTCTTTCATTTGTGCAGGAGTGAGCTATTAAAATAAAACTTTATATTTGTATAGCATTTGGGGGTAAACGTTGTGATAAAATAAATCAATGTTTTACCCTAACAATCTTATGCAAAGAAAATTTAATTTTTTCACCTCATCTTAATTTATTTTATATGTAGTTTTCAAAATTCAGTTGATTTCAGCAGCTACTTACTGAGTGTGTATCATGATCAGTTATGCTATTGGAGAAATGATCCCCGTTCTCACAGAGCTTAGGACTTCCCAGGTGCCTCAGTGGTGAAGAATCTGTCTGCCAATGCAGGAGACTCAGGAGATATGGGTTCAGTCCCTCGGTTGGGAAGATCCCCTGAAGGGGGAAATGGCAAGCCACTCTAGTATTCCTGCCTGGAAAAATCCCATGAGTAGAGGAGCCTGGTGGGCTACAAGTCGATGGGGTCGCAAAGAGTAGGATATGACTGAACACAAACAGACTCTCACAATCACTGAACATACTGTCTGGCGGTGAAGACAGTGGAGAAATAAACACAGTTATAAGTTTCACTATAGAAAGAAAACAGAACTGTATGGAAAAGGATGGCAAAGGATGAAATCTAGTCTAGTGAGTCTACAAAGCCCTTTCAGAGGAAGAGTGAGAACGAGTTTACCAAACAAAGTGGAAGGTGGTAGGCAGGAGGAAAAGGGAAACCAGTCTTCAAGGCAGAGTGAGGGGCAGGTGAGAAAGCTGTGATGTCAGAGAACTTGGAGTGACCAAGATGTTGGAAGAAGTTGGAGTGACCAAGATGTTGGAAGAAGTTCAGTCCGACTGAAACTTAGAGTGAGAAGAAGAGAGAAACAGGTGATCCAAGATGAGACTTGTGAGGTAAGCAGGTCATTTAAGGATCCTGGATTTGAATCTGAGATTAATGCAAATCATTGATGAGCTTAAGGCAGAGGTAAGGCATGAGCAGATTTGGGTTCTAGGAAGACCACTCAGGCTGTGCTGTGGAGAATGGATTGGAAAAAGGGACAGAGGTGGACGTGAGGAGGAAGGTTCGGAGGCTGTTTTGGTAGAACGGTTCTGTTTGTGAGAGGTCATATTTCCTTAGACTAGTGTAGAAGCAATAGAATGGAAAAAACTGAAGAGATTTAAGAGGCCACAGCATTGAGAATGGAAGAATCAGCCTGTGCGTCTACAAAATTCTGGCTTGTTCTACTTTGTCATGTGAAACCAAATGCCTGTTCTATGCAGCAGAGGATGAGCTAGAGAAAAACGGAGCAACAATGATACCTGAAGTTGGCCTCTGCTTTGTGAACAGGCATGATTTCACAGCATAGTTATAGGGATGTGTGTGTCGTGTCTGACTGTTTTGCAATCCTGTGGACTGTTAGGCCATCAGGCTCCTCTGTCCATGGGATTCTCCAGGCAAGAATATTGGAGTGGGTTGCCATTTCCTCCTCCAGGGGATCTTCCTGACCCAGGAATCAAATCCATATCTCCTGTGTCTCCTGCATTGCAGGCAGATTCTTTACCCACTGAGCCACCTGGGAAGCCCAGTTACAGGGATAAGAAAGATAAAAACTCTCAATTAATCGTAAAACAGTTTAATAGTAATGTAGGCAGGATTCTGATGTTAAGTTTCCCTTTACATCAATGCATGTGATATCAAAAGAATTTTGATAGAGTGCATTCAGTAGCTGATGTCCCAGATGTCAGTTCGTTTTTTCATTTGCTTGCTTGTTGTTCATTCATTCGTTCTTGAAAAGAACATTTACTGAAGGCCCGTTTTCTACTAGATATGTTTACTTATTTCAGCTTTTTCACATATGGCCATTATACCTAGTGTAGGCCTTTGACATGTGTAGGTGCTGGATGGGCTTTATCTCATTTAGAGCACATCAGTCAAGTTTCCAGGTTGAGTTGACAGTCTCACCATTTCTTTCTAAGTGGCCCATCACTTAAGGTGTAGCCATTGATAAAATGCTGCAATCCTGGCCTCCCATGTCTCCTGATGTTTTTTAAAATTTTTTATTGTAGTTGAATTACAATATAGGGTTAATTATTGCTATACGGCAAGGTGATTCAGTTTATATATATATATATATACACACACACATATATATACACACATACACACACACATATATATATATACACACACATTCTTTTCATATTCTTTTCTGTTATGTAATTTATCACCTGATATTGAATATAGTTTCCTGAGGTTATAATGTTTATCCTCTGCCCTTTCTGTTACTGCTTCCAATCTCTGCCTAGGCTCCGTGTGCCTAAGTCCCCTTTCAATCCAGCATATGATCAATTCAGCTACCACCATTGAGACTTCTCCTAAAGCAGCTGGTTGGCTGAATGAAGTGTTTTTTGACTGAGATGGTCAGTTATTTCAGTCAGAGTAGAAAAGTCAGTTGCTCACTGTAGATCCATTATATTAGCCAGGTAATAAAAGCAGTAGTAGCAAATTCTCCATCTCATTGGTTTAAATAGAAAAAAAAAAAGGTTATTTTTTGCTAATGAAAAGTTCATTTGATAGCAGATGTGGGGTGGAAGGTTTTCTGCTCTACTCACAGACTCACGCTGATGGAGTAGAGAGTGGATGTGAAATACTGCAGGAGGTTTTATGGGCTGTGACTAGAAGTGATGTAATCCTTCCTACATGTATTTCATTGGCTAGAACTTGGGTACGTGGCTATACCTCACTGCAGGGGAGGCTGGGGGGTGTAGTCTGTGTGTTTGTTCTGGAGGAAGGAAAACTTATGGAGCCGTCTTTGCTCCATCTGTTTAATGACTTTCCTAGTGTGGTGCCTGGTCTTTGGGGCAGAGAAGGGCTGCAGGTATGGATGAAGTCTCCTTTGTGCTTTTCTAAGTGGCTGCTTTCGCAGTGCTGAGCATTAGAGTGGGAAATGCCTACATTCTGAGTTCCTAACTTATCTGATAATTGCCATTTCTCTGTTCCCACAGGGAAATAAATGCTCGACTTGATGCTGTATCTGAAGTTCTCCATTCAGAATCCAGTGTGTTTGGTCAGATAGAAAATCATCTACGTAAATTGCCTGACATAGAGAGAGGACTCTGTAGCATTTATCACAAAAAAGTAAGTGTGATAGAAATCACGTGTTTTAAAATTGTTAATTTTCTTCAGCTTGAGGATAGAGTGAAGTTGCTCAGTTGCATCTGACTTTTTGTGATCCCATGGACTATAGCCTACCAGGCTCCTCCATCCATGGAATTTTCCAGGCACAAGTACTAGAGTGGGTTGCCATTTCCTTCTCCAGGGGATCTTCCTGATCCAGGGATCAAACCCAGGTCTCCCTCATTGCAGGCAGACGCTTTACCCTTGAGCCACTAGGGGATACCAGATATTAATAGGAAACATCACGGAGCTTTGTTGTTATTTTATATTATAAAATCTTACAGATAACATAAGAGAATCCTTAGAGATTTTAATTGCACACACTGAGGTTATTCCAATTTTTGCATTGTTTGCCCACTTCTGTTAACTACAGCAACACATAGAGGCTGTTCGGTTATAATACAGGATATTCTCCTATTTCATCCTCAAAATGGGGACCATCATCAAAGTAGGAAGTTTACTTAGACTAGCTACTTTAAGAAGAGATTCCTTATTTCTTTTGACCTCACAACAACTTCTTATTTGACTTAACCAGAGGAAAAATCTGCTTGTAAAATATTTGTGGTATTATTAATATGCAGACAAGTGTGGATATTGAAGCTAAGTAAAACACATTATTTTGATTTTCATCACCAAGCTTTCCAGTTTAAATCATAACAGTAACAAGTGAGATTTGTTAGAGAAATAATTTATCTTCAAAATATGCCTAAAATTAAAAAATTATTAGTTGGTGATATTTGTAATTGTTAATAAACTTTTTATAGTGTCTTACCTACTATAGAAGTCATTCATATACATTAGACTCTTTGTTGTAAAAAAAAAAGAAAAAACTTTGTGAGGTTAAGAACGTTTATTACTTTCTTACTGGCGGGAAATTATGTATATTGCTGTCTTTATATAATGCTATGACAGCTTGCATTACCTTGGCTAAAATGATGCTAAGAGGAGGGTTAATAATTTGCTTAGAAGTGACAGAATTCATATTTAAACCAGGGTCCTTGACTGGGTTTTAGTGGCTTACATTTTTGGACACTACCATTTTTGATGTAGCAGCAGTTTTGAATATATTAAATCTTTTTCCCTGGCTGTCCCTATATAAGCAACTTTTATTTTTTGCCCAAATGTAAATCCTTGCCAATTTAATAATTTTTTTTAGAACAGTTTTTATGTGCCCAAAATTTTAGTTCAGTTCAGTCGCTCTGTTGTATCTTACTCTTTGAGACCCCATGGACTGCAGCATGCCAGGCTTCCCTGTCCATCACCAACTCTCAGAGCTTACTCAAACTCATGTCTAGAGTTGGTGATGGCATCCAACTATCTCATCCTCTGTCGTCCCCTTCTCCTTCTGCCTTCAATCTTTCCCAGCATCAGGATCTTTTCAAATGAGTCAGTTCTTCGTATCAGGTGGCCAGAGTATTGGAGTTTCAGCATCAGTCCTTCCAGTGAATATTCAGGACTGATTTCCTTTAGGATGGACTGGTTGGATCTCCTCACAGTCCGACTCTCAAGAGTCTTCTCCAACACCACAGTTCAGAAGCATCAATTCTTCAGTGCTCAGCTTTCTTTATACTCCAACTCTCACATCCATACATGACTACTGGAAAAGCCAATTTTCTATTAGTCTTTACCTTTTTAAGGCTTTTTCATTTACATTGTTTTACCAGAATAATAACTGCTGCTTCTGAAAATACTTGCAGTGCCCAAGAGGACTTACGTAACTGTTCCATATGCTTCAGCTAAATTTGAAAAGAAATAAAAAGTCAAAATTGGGAAATTCTGATCCCTAGGGAAAAAATGTATGTCTTGGTTATGGGGTTGGCGTCTATTGTTTCATTGCTTGATGCACAGTGTTCGAGTTTTCTTTTTCCCAAGACTTTTAAAAAATCATTTATTTATTTATTTTGATTTTGGAATGTGCTGGGTCTTCGCTGCAGCATGGGCTTTTCTCTAGTTGCCGCAAGTAGGGGCTGCTGTCTAGCTGCAGTGCTCAGCCTTCTCATTGCAGTGGCCTCTCTTGTTGCAGAGCAGGGTGCGTGGGCTTCATTAGTTGTGGCTCCTCGGCTCTAGAGCACAGGCTCTATAATTGTGGTGCATGGGCTTAGCTGCTCTGCAGCATGTGGGATCTTTTTGGATTAGGGATTGAACCTGTGTCTCTTGCATTGACAGGAGAACCCCTCACCACTGAGTCACCAGGGAAGCCCAAGATTATTTTTTTTGATGTGTACTATGTTTAAAGTCTTTATTAAATTTTTTACAATACTGTTTTTATTTTATCTTTTGGTTTTGTGGCCATGAGACGTGTGAGATCTTAGCTCCCCAACCAGAGATCCAGCCCATACCCCCCGCCTTGGAAGGTGAAGTCTTAACCACTGGACTGCCAGGGAAGTTGCTGAGTTTCTGTTTTGCTGGCAAGAGTAGAGGATGTTCCGATAGTAGGAAGTATTATGGCTGACATTTTTGAGGTTACAGAATGGATGACATACCATCTGTTATTTTGTTTTTGACCTTGACCCAGTGGCTGATAATCCATGCTTGTTACCCTTCATCAAGCAGCAGATCTCTAAACACATTGCCTTCACTACTAAAAAGGATTCACTGACAGATGTTAGAGATTTTATTTTCTCAAAAGAAGATAGGAGCAAAGCTGAAAAATTATCAATGGCTAATCAAAAGAGCTGAATCATAGTATCCATGGCATTAAGATAGCATCATCATTTATTACTGTGGTGATTTCTATTATGCCTTCCTGCTTCTCTTTAAACTGTACTTTGATATTTGCATTTCACAAAGTTTGTGTACTTATAAAAGTTTAGAACTCTGGTAAATGTCAGAATCTAATTTTTTTAACTGAGGTATAATTGATATCCAATGTTATTTTAGTTTCAGGTATATAACATAAGGATTCAATATATATGATCATTGCAATAAGTCTTTAGTTAGCATCCTTTATTATGTAAAGTTGCAAAGCTTTTTTGTTGTCTCTTGATGAGAGATAGCTCTTAAGATCGCCTCTTCAGCAACTTTCAAATAAACACAATTCAGTATTAGTAACTGTGGTTGCCATGCCATTACATCACCAGGACTTATTTAGTTTACAACTGGAAGTTTACCTTTTGACCATCTTCACCCATTTTGCCTACATAACCATGCTCCACAAACCCTAATATGTGCTCTGTATCTACTAATTCAGGTTTTTTGTTTGGTTTTTTAGATTCCACATACAAGTGAGATCATACAGAATAGAATCTAGTTTCTTTTAAAAGTAACCAATATGCAGAACAGGAATGACTTTTTAGACTTTCAGCTTATACTGATGAAACTTGTGACTCACTCAGAAGTTGTTCCTTTATTGCTGTTTTAGTGTTTGTACAAGAATATGTCTAAAGATTGGTTTGAAAAGCAAAGATCAGAAATGATTTGGTATAGACCAACTTTAGGAAGTCAATGCTTTAAACCACATTTTTATAGATTAGTTAGCTGGCTCTTGGAACATACCATCAAACACATGTCTATTCTTTATCATTAGATTACTCTAAATAAGTTTCTGCTTGTATGCACCAAATGGTGAGTGATATCCTGGGTACAGATTGTGCCAATTTTGTGAAATTCAGAAAATGTTAAGGAACACTGTTTGGATATTGTGGAAGTGGTAGGCTTAGGCCATCTGGCTGTGTGGAAAGTGCCGTGGAATAGGCACAAATAGGTATTTTTATGATGATAATAATAGAGGATACCAAGTGGGCCGACTCTGAAATAAAATAAACATTTCTTTTGATAGTAAGACTTCAGACTTAAATCTTAGAAAATAGTGCTAGTGATAGGAGTTCACATTAACTGCTCAATAAGTATAATAACTTTTGTAAGAAAATGATACATAGTCGCTAAGGGTGTAGCACTTAGTAAATGTTGAGAAGATTTCCAGACTTTTGTAGGTTTTATAGTTAATTTCTTAGCTAGACTGCTAGAAGCCCAACTCCACGTTTTCCGTGTGGAGCTGAGGTTGGGGTTCTTCCAGTCATGTGATGGTCTGCCTCTGTACTTGTGCGTGTGTTCTCAAGCTCTTCCACAGAGAAGCCTGCTGCCAGAAATGGGGTTGAACATGACTGACTTCAAGAGCAAACTGTTTTAGCCTTATTCTCAGCTTTCTTGTGACTCCACTGAGTCATTTTGCTTAAGAAATTTGAGAGCAGCCTGGCCTGGGCACTTAGGACTTGGTTGCAAGTACTTCTGGCTTTCACCTTATTTCTGTTGCTCACTTAAATTTGATATCATATCTCAGCATGAACAACCAATTACTTTTTTTTTTCTTACCAAATTGCAATAATTATGAGATTATTATTCAGAAATTCTATTGAAAATGTTTATTTTTTGCTCTTTACTTTTATTAGAATATACCATTAAGTGACTCGAGGTCAATTCTAGGCTATAAATTATTTCTAGGCTCCATATTTATACAAACAGTGCAGTTTCCTGTATGTGTCTTTCCCAGTGAGCCACAGTCTTTCTGGAGATGAGGTGCTTTATGATATATTCTGAACTCACCATTTGTTCAGTTGAACCTAGCTTCTTTTTTTTTTTCTTTTATAGTTTTCTTAATTTCTTATATAAGTAATTATCTTTCTAAATATGTTCTAAGCATTCATCCATTATATATATATATATACACACACACACACATATATACTATTTATGATGTGTACTTACCATTGACTTAAACTTGCATTGTCCTCTTATCTCAAGGTACTCGTTTTCATCAAATATTCTGTTCATTTCATGTTCTTGAGCCTTCCTACCTGATCCAACCTGGACTTCTTGCCTGCTATACATGTTGAATAGCTATCTTTTTAGATTCCCTTTATTTCCCTTGAATTGAATCTTCTGTTTTCTGTACTTCATGACTTCCCCTTGGTTTATTCCTTCATTTTGGTGGGGTACATTCTCTGGAAGCATCCTGAGAAAGGGTATTAGGAGTGAGTTTTGAAACAGTGATGTCTGGAAATGTCTTTGTTTTGCTCTCACATTTGATTGGTAGTTTGAGTATAAAATTCTAGGTTGTAAATTATTTTCCTTTAGAATTTTGTGTTGTCTTTTTCAACAGCTTCTACTATTATTTTTAAACAGTCTGAAGTCATACTGATTCCCAAATCTTTGTGTGACATTTTTTTGTTGCTGGGGTTCTTTTTTCTCTCCTTCTATAAATGGAAGATTGTGTCTTTTGTCTCCAGTGTTTTAAAATTTCATGATGATCAGCTGTGATTTGATTCTGTTTTAATTCATTGTATTGGACCTTTTCAATCTGGCAACCAAGTTCTGGGAAATTTTTCTGAATTATTATTTAAAGTTTGGATCAGTAATTCTAAATTCAAAATTATTATTTTTTATTGAAGTATAGTTGATTTACAATGTTATGTTAATTTCTGCTATACAGAAAGGTGATTCAGTTGTATATATACTCACATTCTTATTTTATATCTTCTTTTCCTTTATGGTTGATCATGGGATGTTGACTATAATCCCTGTGCAATACAGTAGGACCTTGTTTTTTACCCATTCTACATATAATAGTTTCCATATGCTAATCCCGAACTCCAATCCATCCCTTTTCCAGGCCCCCTCCTCCTTAGCAACCACAAATTTGTTCTCTATGTCAATGAGTCTGTTTTTATTTCATAGAAAAGTTCATTTGTGTCATATTTTAGATTCCACATAAAAGTGATATCATATGGTATTTGTCTTTCTCTTTCTGACTTACTTCACTTAGTATGATAGTCTCTAGATCCATCTGTGTTGCTGCAAAGTGGCATTATTTCATTTTTTTTAATGTTAAGTACTATTTCATTGTATATATATGATATACCTCTGAATTATTTTTTTGAAAATTTATCTCCTTTTATAGCTTTATTATTTGAGTTCTTATCTTCTGGACTGATTATTGATCTTTCTTCTAGGTTACCCATCTCTTTACCCTTTTGCTTTACCTTCTTGGAACCTTGATTTTCTGCCTCTTTTGTTAAATTTTTCACTTCTACTATCATAGTTTAATTTATACAATTTTGGGGTTGTTTTCTTGTTCTCTGAATGTTCCTTTTAAAATAATAACATACCATTCTTAATTCATGATTCCCTGTTTATTTCAAAATTCTCTGTTTAACTGAGGATGTTGTTAACATTTTCTTCTACCTGTATAGGTTCCATTCCTTCTGGTATTTGTTGGTTGATTAACTAGTTGTTTATTTTAGTGTTTACATTTCATGTTAGAATTTTTAGTCTGTCTGGTCATTTTTAAAGAATAGGAAATAAAACACTGGTAGTAAGCTCTGTGTAGTTGGATGTAGCTTGCAGCTTATGAGGTGAGCTGTTGTGTGAACTTGACGGTCCATTTATGGGGAGAATTCCTGCTATATGCCGTCTTCATAATTTTTTCTTGGGTTTATGAGACTCCCCAGGGACTCTCAGCTTTCTGACTGGTGGGGACAGCTGGGAATCTCAATGTTCAGTTTGGAATCATTCTTTTAATCCTTTGCTTTTGGTGGTACTCTCATCCTCCACTGTGCCTGAAGATGATTCAGATACCTATGTTTTACCTTCTCCAGAGACTAAGACTACAGTTGACCCTTGAACAACATGATTTTGAATTGTGCAAGTCCTCTTACAGTAGATTTGTTTCAGTAAATATGTACTACAGTACTATGTGACCCATGCTTGGTTGAATCCATGGATACAGAAACACAGGTATGGAGGGCTGACTGTAGGGTTCTATTCAGAGTTTTGACTGTGTGGAGGGTCAGCACTCCTAATGTCCACATTGTTCAAGGGTCCACTACAGTCTTTGTAGAGTAGGAGAATGGTGGCCCTTTAGTGACATGAAGAGGAATAGGGGATTGAAGGATTTAATTGCTGCATGTCACTTTCAGCCAGTTGTTTTCTCCATTCCCAAATCCCCAGCTTCCACTTTCAAAGATAATTTGTGCCCCCAATTCCTGAGTCTTAGGGTTCTGGGTGTAACTCAGGTTGAGTCCTAGTTTTCCTCATGGCCAGCGTAAGACTCGAACACCTAGAGTCTTCAAAGTCGAATTACCTTCAGTCTGTTTACTTCGTAGCTTCTAAGAGGCTACTGCTGCTGCTTTTTCTCCTAATCATTCTTGAAGTTTCATGTCTTTTAAAACAATCTTGGACTATAGCTTCAAGACAGAGTGAAATTAGTTGCGCTTGTTTAGCCCACTTTTTGTATCCAGAGCTCCAAAAGTATAAATTATTCACACTCATGTTACAAAATTACAACAGTATACAGGAGTATAAAATAAAGAGTAAAAAGTCTTCCTTTACCACCCTTTGGCATATCCACTATCCAGAGGTAACTAGACAAAGTTAAATTATACTTGAACTTCTGTAGAATAGTATATATAATTTAAAGAATCACAAATGAAATTTTATTGTATAAAATACATATATGGTATATAGTGTAAAAATATACTATGTACATTTAGTATGTTGAAATTATGGAGTTCAGTATTAATCTGTACATTAGTATTTACAGATGTGTTAGTTTTTTTAATTGTCTTATAGTTGTACACTGAATGAATTTTTCCTAATATCTCAATTTCTGGGTATTTGTTTTTTATTCATCAATATTATTACCAAAACTACTACTATAAATATTCAGATACAAACTTGTTTTTAACTACTTGTGAAAAATATTTTAAAATTCTTTAAAATGGAATTGTGTAGTCAAAGGGTATTATACTTTGTATTGTAAATATATGCCAAATTGCTCTTCAAGAAGGTTATACCTCTACTAATAGTATATAAAAGTGTCATTTTTCATACTCAGTGTGACTTGGCTCTTATCATACTTTTAAATCTTTGACATTCTGACAAGTGAAAAATGCTATCTTGTCATTTTAACCTGCTTGTCCTAATTATACATGAGGTTAATTATGTGCTTATTGGACATTTTTTTCCTATGAGTTTATTCAGTTCATTTAGCCACTGTTCTTTGAATTATTCAACTTTTCCATGTCAATTTGTAAAATCTCATTATACTTGAAAGAATTTTGACCTTTATCTCTTAAATATTTTGTAGATTTTCCCCAGAATTATACTTTTTATTTGTGACATTGTTTACTGTATTTTTGTTATGTGATCATCATATTTTAAAATAAAAAATACTGAACAAGTATTGTTTTTCCTATCCTTGCCTCAAATTTTCTTTATAGCTTTACCTTATAAAGTACTTAAACTACTGATTTAACATTTAGGACATATCAACAATACTTTATTTCAATGAACTCATTTATACAATAACTTAAAATGTTCTTTTATTCTAACTTTAAAAAGACCACTAACAGAATCTCATTTTCATGTATCTTATGCTATTTAGGTCAAAAATATTTCTCTTTTCAGTGTTCTACGCAGGAGTTCTTCCTGATTGTCAAAACCCTGTATCACTTGAGGTCAGAATTTCAAGCACTAATACCTGCTGTGAATTCCCATGTTGAGTCAGAGTTGCTCCAGACATTTATTTTAGAAATTCCTGAACTCCTCAGTCCAGTGGAGCATTACTTAAAGATACTCAATGAACAGGCTGCCAAGTAAGTAGCAGACCCTTAGTTCTTCCTTTCTAGTAGTGAAAGTACAAATTTACCATTTGATATGTGGATACTTAAGCTTCCCTTAGAATTAATAGTAGAAGTTGCATATAAAACTAGAAATGTGATTGAATACTAAAGACTCTGTATTACAGCTGGAAACAACCCTTAGCGTTTAGGCAGTTCCATCATACAGAACAAATATGGTATTTTTTCAGGTATCAGATGATGAAGTCCAGGCTGAGCAAGTGGTAGTGGTTTATTAATCCAGAAGTAGATGGCAGATGGCATCTTGTGCTTATTTGCTAGATAGCCAGAGATGGTCTGCTTTATATGTAGAAACTGCAGAAGTAAAGTTATCCTTTAAGGGGTAGTCATTTTACATTTTATCCCATAAAGAACTTTATGTATAGGAAAAAAGATTTGACAGTATTTTCATTTATTTTCTGAATATACAACAAATGTTGAATGTCATCTCTTGGTTTCATCATGACAATCATGAACTTCTAAAATGAAAGTGATGTTAGCGTAATTTAATCTGTCTTCAAAGAAATTAAGAAACTTACCCGTAAATATTTAGTGGTAGAGCTGGGATTAGAATCTTGTTCTCCTGACTTCCCACCCTTTGGTCTTTCAGTATGTTTTTTTAAAAATATTTATTTATTTGGCCGTATTGGGTCTTAGTTGTGGCATGCAGGCTCTTTTAGTTGTAGCTTGTGGGATCTAGTTCCCTAATCGGGGATCGAGCACTGGACCCCTTGCATTGGGAGTATGGAGTCTTAGCCAAAGACCACCAGGGGAGTCCCTTTCATTATGTTTTGAAAAATAATTGTTAATTAGTATAAATAATATGCTTAAATATGTGTATTTGCATTTTTTCATTTTTTAGGATTGGAGATAAAACTGAATTATTCAAAGATCTTTCTGACTTCCCTTTAATAAAAAAGAGGAAGGATGAAATTCAAGACGTTACCCACAAGATCCAAACACATTTGCAAGAAATACGAAAAATACTAAAAAATCCTTCTGCACAATATGTGACTGTATCAGGACAGGAGGTAATATTGAAATACTTTTCTTTTACATTAATTTTCCTCAATTGGAAAAGCTATTTTAAAGTGTGAATAAATATTTGATAGTAGGATGAAAGTTTTTTCTTTTCAGATTTTCTGTTTTATTCTTTGGAAATATATTGTAATACCTTGTTTGATAAGAACTTTCTTTTAATGACAGTATTTTGTTTGCTTATTTATTTTAGTTTCATGATAAAATCATGGATCTTAATGTTACATGTGTTTTAGTATTATCTATTGAAATTATATTATAGAAAACCTTGACTATGGTAAATAATAACTTTAAATAATTCATTTATTTTAGAAGAGAGAAGTTAGTCTTTGACTCCCAGTCTGCAGATGATAAATGATACAGAGTGAACCATCTACACTAATTGGATCACATAGTAATTAAATGACAAGGCTTCTATTTGAAAGAGTATCAGTTCAGTTCAGTTCAGGAGTATAGCTGCTAAAAAAACAGAAAGACAAAAACAAAACTATAGCAAGCACCATAAGATTATGGTGCTATGTAGAATGTGTTTTTTTGGTATGTGTATTTCTGTTTAAAGGTTGATATTAGCATCTCTGTCTTGATGTATTGCTACTTCTACATCTTATGTTTAATAAAATATAAAGATTCCAAGTGAAGTAATTTGAAAAACTCTACTTGTTTAAATAGCAAATTAGGAAATTTGTGAATAATTTCTATAGGATGAACACTTTACTCAGAGTTTTAAAAAATAGATATTTTTCTAATGGGGAAAAACTTAATTTCAGATCAGTTTTAAAAATATTTGCATTGCTTTATTTAGCCAAAAGAGTGTTAATTTGTATGATTATTTGAAAGAAGAAACTCTATAATAAATTATAATCTTTACTTTTATTAAAATGTTTATTAATTTAATAGACTATTGATTAAGTCAACCTGTCTTCTAGATTAAAATTAAGATGTTATACACATTTTATAATGCATTCTAAATAGAACTCTATATGACAAAAAAATGATTTCATAATATGTATACTTATTCTCACTCCTCCCCTGAACAGGCAAATACCAAATACTTAATTTTATCTCTTGGTTTCACTATATAATTATGACCTTGCAAAGTGACAAGTGACCTCAACCCGGCTGTTCAGGTCTATTTGTTGGAAATGAGATAATCAAAGTTGCTTAATATATTAATGAAAATGTGTAGTAGAAAAGTGGTTACCTGGTATTATAGTGGTGAAAGCTGCCAGTTCTAGCACTTACATGCACTGTGACCATGGAAGAGTCACCTCTGAAGTGAGACTACTGCAAAGACAAAATGAATTAAAAAGCATGAAAGTGCTTTCTAATCATAAAGCACTTTGCATGTATTATTCATTTAATAATAGTACTTACAGTTACCATTTGTTGTGCACATGTTAAAGTTCAGAATGGTGCTAAGTGCTTTGCTTATGTTACTGAATCCTTGTGACAACACAGAAGGGTTTTTTTTTCCCCAGTTTTTCAGGAAAGAAAACTGAGACTTGGCATAGTATAGTGAGATAAGCTGCCCAAGTTGGAACTTATTTCCAGCCCAGGTCTGCCTGATTCTGATCTTTATACCATGTTGTCATTTCACTCAACTCACGAACAGTGTTAACACAAAAGATTATCAACATCAAAGATTTTATTTGATAAAATCCAGACATTTTAGAGCTTGCATTATTCAGATTAAAATAAAATGTAAGGTTTTGTAAGATAGCCTTAGATTCACTTGGGGTTTTAAAGTTAAAATGGGGAAAACTGATCAGGAATTCATAAGGGATAGTAGATTAGCATTGATAGTATAGTGCTGACATTTAAGAAAAAGCACAGCATAGAGACCAGGTAATTGGATTACAGAGGATTATCAAGTAAGGTAAATTATCCAATTATTCTTAACTTTTACTAAGTTAAGGTGGTGAGTTTGAGGCAAGAAATTTTTTAGTTTTTAACAAAAGGATAGATTCTTGGTTGTTTTTTTTTAAATCTCTAAAATCTTAATAGTACTTCATTTGAATCAAATGTGTGCTCACTTGTGTCTGACTCTTTGCGACCCCATGGACTGTAGCCTGTCAGGCTTCTCTATCCTTGGAATTTTCAGGCAAGAATACTGGAGTGGGTTACTGTTTCCTTCTCCATAGTACTTCATTATAGAATCACTTTTATAACATCTTTTGGGAATTATTGATGCTGTTAATTGAAACATCAAGTAAATTCTAAATATCCAGCATTGTTATAATCAAATTCTGTTTAAATATTTGTACTGAAGGTATCAGCAAAATTTAGAGAGATTTAAAGGAGTAAAACAGACTCCATCAAATATGATTACCTCTGAGAAGTAAAGGAGCTAGGAGGCAAAACTCTTGTATTATATATATGTGCTTCTTATTTTATACCCTTCTGTTCTAGCTGAAAGCATATTTCCATACATATAAGTTTTGTTATATATGTTAAAAAACCTGTTATGACAGCCCTGTGTGGTATGTGAGTTTGTTAGTAAAAATAAACTGTCGAACCAGTGTTACTTTTTGCACTGTTCATTTTTTTTCACTTTGTTCCCAGCTTTTATGCATTCATGAGAATACTAAGCCTTATTGACTCTGGGGAATTATTGTGTCTGACTCTGACAGTATTCCTAAAGAAGGGAATGGCAACCCACTTCAGTATTCTGGCCTGGAGAATCCCATGGGCAGCGGGGCCTGGCAGGCTACAGTCCATGGGATGGCAAAGAGTCTGACACAACTGAGTGACTGTCACACCTTCATCTGACGGTACTGGTTTAGAAAATAGTGAACGAAAAAAATCCTGGAAAGAAAATAATGAAAGCAGAAACTTACATAGCTTTACATAGTTCATTGTTTCTGTGATAATGTCTCTCATGTTTTCTGTGTGGAGATAATTATATCTCAACATTGAATCAAATATGGAATAGGCATGGGGTGATACTTAGATTTGGGACAGTTTTGATTAGTAGTTTTCTTACGGGAAAAGGAAATAAATGTTATTGGAACATCTTTAGAAAAATAAATTTGTGAATTAATAAATTTTCACAGCATGCAACATATCCAGATATCTGCTTAGCATGATTGAGACATGAAAAGTAATCTGTTACATCTTACATCTAAATAAAAGTTATTTGTGAATTCTTAAGAAACAATGAGAAAGAGGGGAGAACAGGAATGGGTGAAGTGTGGCCTTGGAGAGAACAGAGAGCAGTTTTTGGAATGAGTGAAGAATTTCAGCAAACTTAACAATGATTCCATCCCAGTGATTCTATGGGCTGTAGTTTAAGTAACACTATCTGACATTTGACCATGACAGAACTGGATCCCAGCAGAAGAATATGAGAGATTGTTAGAGTGAATCTAGACAAATTTTTCACATCAACACCTAGGAAACAGTCACAAACCATAGAGCAAGGAAAGTTTCTATGAGAACTCTCTAAAATTTCTGAAATACATGTTAACTTCCAATTTTTGTTAGTTTCCTTTAGCAGTAAAGTCTCTAAACAAAAAGCTTGTCTGCTCATCCTTAGAGTGTTCATTGAAAAGAAATAGAAAATTTCCTATCCCATAACTAGTGTAGAACAGAGAAAAACCGCTAGTTGGTGACTGCTGAGGAGAAACCCAAGACGACACACAGGACCAGCACCTGAGAAGGTGACCGCAGGAGTTTAACAGACAGGAGGTCCACGTGGCTTTCCTGGTTCTCACTCTGTTTTCCATCTGGTATTGACTCTGTAATGGCTTGCTTGAGGAGCTGTGGTCTTGGAGTAGACCCTGGATACTTACAGATGGAACAGTTACGGTCTAAATCAGCAGTTCCCATCCTTTTTGGCACCAGGGACCAGTTTTGTTGATGATAGTTTTTCCACAAACCAGGGTAGTGAGTGGTGGGTGATGGTTTCAGGATGATTCAAGTGCATTACATTTATTGTGCACTTTATTTCTGTTACTAATACATCAGCTCTACCTCAGATCATCAGGCATTAGGTCCTGAAGCCTGAGGACCCCTGGTCTAAACTGTTCCCAGGGTGCTCCAAAGGAGTGTGACCAGTGGCAGTTAGTAATGTGTATAGGGCATGGATTTGGATTCAGAGCTGCCATGCTGCATAAGTTATGGTGCATAACTTAAGTACACTATTCTAGCTGGCTGTCTAGAGACCTCATTGAGGCAGTTTTAGCTTCTTTTAAAAATTTCCACTATCATTTAGGCAGTAATTTCTGTGGAACTCTGTGTTATATGTATTATTCCCAAATGTTAGTGGTCTACTGGGGCCCTGAATTTTGCTGTTTGCCTTTGGCTTACCTTCTCCCGCAATTATTTATAAAAACACCAATATGTTTTCTCATAGAAGATTTCAAAATATTTAAGCAGAATATTTTTTAGCATACTCTTAGAGAGGTTTTATCTTTCTCATTAGTGTATTTATTTTGTTATTTTTTTCCCCTTAGTTACTTTTTTTTAGCCAAAGGAGAGACTTTTTAAAACTCTTTTCTTTAACTGGATATGTCAGATTTGAAATTGTATTAATTTCCTGTATACAAGAGGACATCATTAGTTGCAAAATCATTGCTAAGGATAAAAATTCTTACAATTAACCATTGATGCCAATTATAATGAATATAAAAGCTAAAGTATTTCTATTAACAGAAAAGTAAACTCAAAAGCCAGGCTGATACTATTAATAATATGCATGTTATAAATACCAAAATGTTGTAAAACATATGTGACAAAGTTCCTGTAGTCATCTCAAAATTAATGGCAGTTACAGAATTTCTGGGTCCCATCCCACACAAAAACAGGTATATTTTTATTTAAATGAAACATTAAATTTCACTGTAATAATACAGAAATGTGAGCAGGAAGAGGAGATGATATATAATTTATGTGAAAAATGGAAGGTGTGATAGAAGTAGTGATTTCATTTACTTCCTGGCTGATTTCAGAAAAGCTTGTAGAGTACAGTTGGGTCTGTAATAGTTCATATAAATGAAAACTTAAAGAAAATACTCATGTGAGGAAATCTCTTCCTTCCTTAATTGCTGAGGGGTTAAGTGCTTTGTGTGATGATATGTTTATAGGACTTAGGTTTCTTGTATAAAAGCTATTATAATAAATCTTCTGTTTAGAATAAGGGATTGGCCATATCTCAAACTGATTTAATGTCTAATAATAAAACATTAAAAAATTAAAAAAATTTTTATGTATTTAGAGGTTCAGTCTTATTACTGAGTCATAGAATTCTTAAGATAAATGCTACTAATAAATGAATGAAAAAGGTCATTAAGGAAAAAAATCACTATTTGCAATATGAACATAACAGTGTTACAGGTATTAAATCATCAGGTTATATTTTTTATTACAACCTTTTTGCTCAGTACAAATTGTACTTTTTCCTAAGTATTGAAACCCTAATTATTAATATTTGGTTGTACAGACATATATGAACTCTCTCAATAACAGTGCTAGGTTTATTTTGAATGTTTAGAATAATACTTTATAGACTATCACAGCACAATTTTGTGGAAGATTTAAAAATATAATGGCTAATCATTTAAATATCTAACTTTTATTTATATTTATTTTAGTTTATGATTGAAGTAAAGAATTCTGCTGTATCTTGTATACCAGCTGATTGGGTTAAGGTTGGAAGGTAAGTTTAAAAATACATGTTTTTTATTATTCATGTGGATTATAATAATAAATTACCTTCATGCTTCTGGACTGTTAAAACCACATCCTTGACATTAAAAGCAATTCTTGCCCTTCAGTTTCCTTCTGGAACTTTTAATTAGAGAAATAATTATCTTAAACTCTTTTAATCATTGATTTTTAAACATTTTATCCAAAAGGTATCTTATTTGTATGTATTTGTTTTCTTGTTTTGTGAATTACTACTTTATCCTTATACCTCAGAGTATACTTTAAACACACGGAAAGAGAAAGTTGCAGAACCTTCAATTATAAGATTAATTTGGTTGCTTGAACTTCTTGATGAATGCTGTACCTGACATTTCTTTTAAGAAGCTGACATTTCATTTTCTGCCTCACTGAGCTCTGCCTTTCTTTATTTTTAATGCTTTCCATGGCACATAGTTATACTAGTTTTTTTTTTTTTAATTAATTAATTAATTTATTATTTTTTTTATCACAACCATAGTGTATCTTTTTTTTTTTTTTAACATGTATTCCCCATCCTGGTCCCCCCTCCCACCTCCCACTCCACCCAATCCCTCTGGGTCTTCCCAGTGCACCAGGCCCGAGCACTTGTCTCATGCATTCAACCTGGGCTGGTGAACTGTTTTTTACATGTTCTTTTTTAAAGTTGTGTCTTGAATTCATGAAAATAATTAATCAGAAACAAAATTAGAGAAGCACAATGAGACTCTGCCTTTTCTTCTTGGTTAGGCATTAATCCTCAAGAGGTGACTCATTAAAGAGTGGTTTTAGAGAAATTCATTTCCTCTTGTGAGTGGTACTGTTTCTGAAATATTTATTACTACTGTTAGTATGTTTGCATCAACTTGAGATGAAAATGTTACATTTGCCTAAGATAGTAGAATAGGGACTAGTAGCTGGTGATGGTATGAAGGAACTCTATGTTAAGAGTGGAAGGAAGTTTTGACATGATTTTGACATGATGTGTGAATAATTATTAATTCATTATTTTAATTAAAAAAACCCCTGTTATCCATGGCCACTATCAAAGGATCCTGAAAGCATAATCATGGGTTTATTTAGCTCTAATACCACCCTTTTTTTTTTAAACCAGAAGCTGTAATTGAGTTTCAGATATTGTTGATTTTAGGGAATGTTTTCTTCTTCTGCAGGCACTCTTTCCTTTATCTATTTTTGTTCTATACTACAGCTAATGAATGGTAATACACTTTATGAAGAGAAATTACTAGGAATTCTGTTAATCTGTCTAGAACAACCACTGAAATGTCTCACTAAATGAGTTTTGTCAGAAGAGAAAGCTATGATTAATATGTTTGCATAAAAATCTAGATAACATACTTTAAAAGCTATAAGCAAGGCATAAATCAATTTCAGCATCTTTTGAACATTTCAGTGATGTAAATCGAATGAATAAATGTGGTTGGGAAGGTATTTTTTATCTGTTTAGCCACCAGAGCCTTGACAGGAGTAAGTTAAAATATCATTAGTCAGATTTCGAATGCAAAAGGCTCATTTTCAGTAACTTGCCAAATTAAAGATAATTGTGACCATGTGTTAACAGGAGTGAATGTGCAAACAGAGATCAGAGTACACTCTGTCATCACCTACCTATCACTCAACCTTGACCTTTTTTTCTTAAAGTCTCCATCATAGTAATAGCATCAATAAGCACTAATCACTACCACAGTGGAATGGCTCCTGACATTGAGTTCAGTTCAGTTGATTTGCTCAGTTATGTCTGACTCTTTGTGACCCCATGAACTGCACCTCACCGGGCTTCCCTGTTCATCACCACCTGCCAGAAGTAGCTCAAACTCATGTCCATCGAGTTGGTGATGTCATCCAACCATCTCATCCTCTGTCATCCCCTTCTCCTTCCACTTTCAGTCTTTCACAGCATCAGGGTCTTTTCTAATGAGTCAGTTCTTTGCATCAGGTGTCCAAAGTATTGGAGCTTCAGCATCAGTCCATCCAGTGAATATTCAGGATTGATTTCCTGTAGGAAATCATTGAGTGCTAGTGACATAATTCCTCTGCTGAGCACTATGATCCTCCAACAGTGCCTATGGGCTTCCCTGGTGACGCAGATGGTACAGCACCTGCCTGCAGTGGAGGAGATCCTGGTTCAATCCCTGGGTCGGGAGGATCCTCTGGAGAAGGGAATGGCTACCCACTCTAGTATTCTTGCCTGAAGAATTCCATGGACAGAGGAGCCTGGTGGGCTACAGTCCATGGGAAGATTGGACATGACTGCACAAGTAACACATTCACTTTTCATGAGGTAGATACTATTGTTATCCCTATTTGATAGGTGAGGAAAGTTTTTAGTTTAGACAAAATCAGTTTTATTGGCCCAGAGTCACATAGATAGCGAGTAACTGACAGAGTTGGAATCTTACTGTGGATTCTCTGACTGGGGACCCATAGCATCCACCATTGTGTTCCGTAGCTTCTTGATGAGGAAGCAGAGATTGTTTGCAAGCTCAGAGGAGGAGTACATGATATTTCTTCCCATCCAGGGTCACTGTGAATCTGCAGTTGGGTCATGAACCCTTCTTTGACTGCCTCCTGAATTAATGCATTGCTGTTCATAGTAATGCTTTTTTTTTAATTGAAATACTTTAATCATACAGAAAAGTATAAAATATGAAAAATGATATGACCTTCACCAATATATCCAACTCTCTGATTTGTTAGGACTTAACTTTGTTATATTTGCTTCTGATCTTTTTTTTTTTAAACCAAACATTTTCATTTTGTATAATTTACAGAAAAAAAACCTCTTTACTTATGAAACAGAAATTCTAAACTTTGATTTTTGCCATATGGATATAATTTGAATTTTAAAAGCTTCCTAAACAAAGTCCTCTGAACTTCGAATACTTTATTTACAATAAAGATCTTTGGAATCAATAAAATTCAGGATCATAATTAAAGAATGTTCTCTATTTACAGCTATTTACTTTCAAGGTCCATCAGAGAATAATAAATAACTACTTTAATTTTCTGAAGTGATGACATTACTGACTTCTTAGTAACCTTGATTTCCTGTTTATGTTTTTTCTCCTCTTCTAGCACAAAAGCTGTGAGCCGCTTTCACTCTCCTTTTATTGTAGAAAATTACAGACATCTGAATCAGCTCCGGGAGCAGCTAGTCCTTGACTGCAGTGCTGAATGGCTTGCTTTTCTAGAGTGAGTTTACAATGAAAAATATAATCTGACTTTTTGCTATGAGAAATAGACCGGAAAATCTTTCCACCAAAAAGAAAAGTAAAGATTACTGCTTTTGACCTGCCATAAAATAGTTGAGTACATGTGTCCTCTGATTTTATTTTTAATCTATTTAAATGTAAGCTCATCTTAGTCTTTGGTAAGAGACCAAATATACTTTTTGTTACTGTACTAACATTTTGTTGCTAAGGATGTTTAGTAATGTCACTTTGAAATTCTACCTTGGATTTTGTTTACTTTTCTTGTATAAAGGCTTAATTAACATTTTCAGAGTTGGACAAGTATGGGTTAGTTGTTTTATTGCATTGGCCGAAAAGTTTGTTGTTACAGGAAACAAAGTCTGTACAATGTTACAGGAAAACTCGAACAATGTTTTTGGCCAGCCCACTAGCTGCATTTAATTTTTTTCTTGTATTTTTGCATCCTTTACCTCTTTCCCTCTACTTTGTATCTTGAACAAATTCAAATCTATGGGAAAGTTGAAATGATGATCTCTGTACTCTTTACCTAGGTTTATTTAAAGTGTTGAGATTTTACTACATTTGTTTTATATCTCCCTCACATTTTTTTTTCTGAAACATTTTAAAGTAAGTTTTAGACATTATAATACTTTGGCCCTAAATAATTAAGCATACATCATCTAAAAATAAGGACATTTTGCTGTATAATTTTGCTATCACTATTATACCCAAGAAAGTTTAATCGTTGTTGTTCAGTTGCCCAGTCATGTCTGATTCTTTGCAACGCATGGACTGCAGCAACTAAGTTAAATTTTAAATAGTCTCAATTCCTCTTCTCCCCATATTTTTATTATTTTTATTTTTTTATTGAAGTTGATTGATTTACAGTTGATTTACAGTTATGCCAAACTCTGCTGTATATAGCACAGTAACCCAGTTACATACATATAGACATTCCTTTTTTATATGCTTTTCCATTGTGGTTTATCATAGGATATTGAACACATTTCCCTGTGCTATACACGAGGACCTTGTTGCTTACTCATCTATATATAATAGTCTGCATCTGCTAATCCTAAGCTCCCAGACCTCCTCGCCCTCAGCCCCCTCCTCCTTGACAGCCACAAATCTTTTCTCCATGACTGTGGTTTTCCCTCCTCCCGTATTTGAAAGAAACTTTCACATGTTGCATTTGTTTATTAAGTTTCATTAGTGTATCTTAATCTAGAATAGCCCTCTACCTTTATATTATGAAACTTAGAGGGGAGGCATCCATGCCATTGTCTCAAAGAATGTCTCTTTCTGGATTTATTAACAATCACATGTTCATCTTAATAGTTTAAAGTTGGTGGTGTTCTGATAAATGGTGAATAGCCAGCTCTCTGGAGAGCAGTAGTGTGTGTTTGATTTCTGTGGTGTCACTGCACCCACCAGGACTGATCGCAAGCTCCTGCTGGCCTGGATTGGAAAGAGATGTGCACGCATTTGACTTTCATGAGTCCATAGGAGCCAGCTCCAGACCACCAGTCACCTAAGCACTTTGTTTATTAGCTCATTTTGCTTCACAAGAGCCCCAAGAGTGAAATATTATCATCCCCAGTTTACAAATGAGTAAGGCGAGTGACAGAAGTAAAGAATAAGTTGCCCACAATAAGACTGTAACGCAGATTCAGCCCAGGGTGTCTGGTGGTAGGGCGTGTGCCCTGTGCTGTCAGGCTGTAGTGCCTGCCTGTGGTGAATCAGTCCATGGGCATCGCTGGGAAATCTTTGTCTTGCTCTTTAAAATTTTAAACAGTATATTCAGTGTAGTCTTCAGGGAGCTTTTTTCCATTTAAAGTAACAACTCTGACAAGTGAAAAAAGAGGAGCAAAAAAGATAATATGTGACAGTTTTTAAAAGGTAGTAGATTGGTACCATCTCTTGTTGCCCAGAGGAGTTTTGAATTACAGGATCAGAAAGAGATTTCAGTACACTTACCCTGAATCTTTTGGAATTATCTTGACTCTGAGTCTTGAATCTGGGGATAGAAATTTGGCCTACTCACTTCCTTTTCCAACTTGCTTTCAATCACCCTGGCTGAGGGTTTTCAGGGCTCTTGAGTTTTTGTTTTCCTTACTTTCCCCTTAGCGATATCACTGATAACATGAAAAGTGGACTAATGTTTTCCCTTTCAAGCTTCAGGGACTGTATTCTAGGGTCCTGGGATTCAATGAGGTTGTTCGTCTTCACTGTCTACATAGTGGGTGTGATTTTATAGGTCTGGGTTATGTTCTTTCATGATTCTAGAGTAGAGAAAGTTCAGATCTCCCAGGGTAAAGATGTTGGCACTATCCTGATTCTTTATTCCTTTTTTCCCCTTTATCTATTATCAAATTCCTGGTTGTCTTTTTTCTCTTTAAAACATCTCTTTGCTTTGCCCCTTCCTCTCCTGTCATCTCACACCCTTCCATCCTCACTGTGCTAGCCCTCTGCCTGGGCCCTCCTACCCCATTAACCCAGGAGAATCCTACTCTCATCATACCATGGCTTGGCTGGAGTTGGGAGCTGCTGAGAGTAAGCAAACATTAAATAAAACATCACAGAAGAATATGATATGATATACTGCTAAGTAAAAAAAGGATGAAAAGTGTTAAAAATGTGATGCCAGTTCTGTATGTGTAAATTCACATACATGCACAGCATACACATTTTTGTATTTTAAAATATTAAATACACATGCTGTTATTAATATGCTTATTGGCCATATATATATAAATAGTTTCAAATATTAACTGATTAATTCTGGAGGGTGAGATTACTGGAAGTTTATTGTATTTTGCAGATCCATGATATCAAAGGTTCTGTAATATACATATGTTACTTTCAAACAGAAAAATATAATTTTTTTTATCTAAAGAAAGAATATTGGCTGAAATTTAGCTACAACATTTGCAGCTAGAGCCCCCACGAGAACAGCATTGATTGTTAGACATACTATTTATTGAGGTGCCAGATGGTGTGAATATAATGTCATTTCAAAAATGATTAACCTCATTGAACCTGACACCAGAGGATTGAATACCAGCTATACAAGTGTTTTTGTCTCTTACCGAGATACTAACAGTTGTCCATTAGTCACATTACTTTTTATTGAAATATTGCAAGAAGTCAAGGCTGTAAGAAAGTCTGTGAATGGAACCCCCTCTCAAAAAACAGTGTCTCTTCTTTCATGCTCTAAAAGATAGGCTCTCGATATTGAATAATCTCAATGGAAAAATCTTTAATAATAAGATTATTGAATATTATTCAATTGAATAATTGAATAAAATTACCTCTCATACAGTAGTTCAAGTATTTTAGAAATACATTTTCAAATAGAAAATAAAATATTCTTCTTTTTAATTAGCTTCAAATAAATATTATTGAATAACATCAGATGGTAAACTGTCATAATAACTTTAGAACCCAAGTGTCTTTAATCTCCTTCCCATGGACCCAGCAATACCTTTTGAGATTAAATCACAGTGATTAGTTGAAGTTGTTTGGTGGCTTAGTGATAAAGTTGTATGTTGTTATGACATAAACCCAAGTCTATCAGATTGTTACCTGAATGGTCCATTTTTCAACCTGTCATTTTTCTAAGATGATCTCTTTGGAATTTGGTCAAGAATAACAAATAGACAAAGACGAAGAAGTCAAGCAAGGCTTTATAAGAGTTGTGATGGTGAGTTTAAGGTTTATGATAGCTTAAAATTTTTTTTCACATGCCTTATTTATACAGTTGACATGAGAAGGAACATTGTTGTCCACAGCTAAATAATTTACCTTCTCTCTCCTGCCTTTTGTGTTGTTGCTAAGCTGAAATGGTACTGACCAAGAGTTATATTACTTATTTCAATCCCAGAAGTTAGATCATCAGGGACAGTTATCCTCAACCTAAGGCTGTTGGGTAGTGATAAATTAGTGGCCTGGACAGGAGCTGAGAAGGAAGGAGTGGGGGTAAGAAAAAATTGGCTGTTTTTTATTTTTTTTACTGTAGTGCCACAGATACATTGAACACTTGGATTCAGAGAGGCAAGAGCAGAAATATCAAATATGGCTGCTTTCTGGCAAAGGAGAGAGTGCCAGGATAGGAAGACCAGATGGATCAGTAATTAGAATAGGGACAGAATCAGCCACAGTCCAAGGGGTAGATGAGCAGTCAGATCTAAAATTGAAGCTACTAGGAATGACAAGGAGCCCTCAGGAGCCTTACGTCCACAGAGCACGTGACATCTTCAACACTAAGAGCCGTTTTTAAGGTGGCAACTGAGTGCCCCCGTTTGATGTCAGGTGTAGTCTCCTTTGTGTTTGGTATTCTGCACATGCTCTTACATTGTTAGTGGTAACCATGTAGTTCCTTCTGAGTAACTTTAATTTGGGGGAAACAGGTAAATTTTATTCATTATGCTCTCCTTGTTCATGAGGTTCTCACTTTGCTGACAAAGGTCCGTATAGTCAAAGCTATGGTTTTTCCAGTAGTCATCCATGGAAGTGGACCATAAACAGGGCTGAGCACTGAAGAATTGATGGTTTAGACCTGTGGTGCTGGAGAAGACTCTTGAGTCCCTTGGACTGCAAGGAGATCAAACCAGTCCATCCTAAAGGAAATCAACCCTGCGTATTCATTGGAAGGACTGATGCTGAAGCGAGGCTCTGATACTTTGGCCGCCTGATATGAAGAGCTGCCTCATTCAAAAAGGCCTTGATGCTGGGAAAGATTGAGGGCAGGAGGAGAAGGGAAGACAGAGGGTGAGATGGTTGGACAGGAGTTTGAGCAAACTCAGGGAGACAGTGAAAGTACAGGGAAGCCTGGCGTGCTGCAGTCTGTGGCATCACAGAGTTGGACACAACTTAGCAACTGAACAACAACAGTGCTGTATCTACTCAGACAAAGAAGTTTAAAATATACTGTAAATATACTCTGCAATTCACAAATAGTTAGAATTAAAACTGAATATTTAAAATGTTCTAGTATCTGGAAGAGTTATCTATATAGGATATCTTATTTTAATATTAATAAAAAATCAAATTACGGATTCTAAAAAATCAGTATAGTGGTAATAATATTGGAATAACTGATCACATAGCAGCTTAATCTGGATATCCTTTTCTAGTAGGAAGCACTCTAAAAACCTTTGGATTTAAGAATCAAACAGACTAAATCTCTTAGTTTTTGAAACCTGCAGTATTAAATAGAGAAATATTTTTTAAGAGAGGCATTCAGTATAATACTCATCTCTTTTGGAGAGGATTATCTTTAGAAAGTTATAAGGAACTCCTATGATAAGAGATAATAGAAGTATCTAAGCAAAAAAAATGGAGAAGGCAATGGCACCCTACTCCAGTACTCTTGCCTGGAAAGTCCCATGGACAGAGAAGCCTGGTGGGCTGCAGTCCATGGGGTCGCTAAGAGTCGGACACGACTGAGCAACTTCACTTTCACTTTTCACTTTCATGCATTGGAGAAGGAAATGGCAACCCACTCCAGTGTTCTTGCCTGGAGAATCCCAGGGACAGGAGAGCCTGGTGGGCTGCCGTCTATGGGGTCGCACAGAGTCGGACATGACTGAAGCGACTTAGCAGCAGCAGCAGCAGCAAGCAAAAAAAGGAAAGGAAAACCCCTACATACAGCGTATGTTTTTTCTAAAATAAGTCTTTCAGTGCAAGTCTTTTTAAACTTTTAGATCACCAGCTACCTAATTAGCCAAAGATTTGAAGTGACAGACCTTTTTAAAAACAAGTCTCATATTTAATTTCTATATGAATTATTAATAAGAAAACTGAAGATCACTTTAAAAAGTACCTTTCTTTTTACTTGCCTTCAAAAATTTTATTGCAATGTCAACTCTATGGTTAGATGTTAGATAAGTAAATCAGGTGAACCTGATGAGCTCTACCTTTGAGACACTTCCAATAAATTTTAGAAGAAGATATTGAAATTGTTTTCCTAGTTTGGACAATGCTATGAAGGATATGTGCAAAGGGAAGCTGATCCATTTGGGTAGTTCATGATGTCATTTAAGTTAAGTGAAAATAATCTCTACATTAGTGTTAATTAGGTCTGAGTTCAGGGTCATGGTCAGATGAAATGTGCAATATGGTATTAATAGTAGACATCTTTGTAAAGAAACTATTTTAAAATATATATATATATATATTTTTCAAATAAAGTCTCAATAATCAAGTTATTAAACAGAAAATAGTTCAGTGTAATTTCCACCTTTCTTAACTGCTAGCTGTGTGCCTGATTATTTGTTTATGCTCATCATAGCTACCAAACTGATTACTTATTGTACAGTTTTTATAGTTCTAAGAAGTCAATTTGCTCACCTTTTTGTTGTTATTGTTGCTTCTGTAGGAGTTTCAGTGAACATTATCACTCCTTGTGTAAAGCAGTCCATCACCTAGCAACGGTTGACTGCATTTTCTCCCTGGCCAAGGTTGCTAAGCAAGGAGATTACTGCAGGTAATGTATTTTTTTTTTTTAAACTTCAGCCCTTTTCCAGTGCTTTAGAACAGATAGAATTTTTCAGTTAATTTTAGTGTTCCTTGGTGGCTCAGCTGGTAGAGAATCTGCCTGCAATGCGGGATACCTGGGTTTGATCCCTGGGTTGGGTAGATCCCCTGGAGAAGGGAATGGTACCCACTCCAGTATTCTGGCCTGGAGAATTCCATGGACTGTATAGTCTATGGGGTCACAAAGAATCAGACCTGACTGAGCAACTTTCACTTTCATTATACAGTATTAAAATTACTCAAATATATTGAACTCTTGGTAAAGCTGAATGTCATACACATATAGCTTGATTTAAAATTAAGAAATTCCTTTCTTGCTCTACCATTGAGTACAATGAAAGCATATGATGACTATAACTAGAGGGAAATGTTACATATTTCAATTTTTAGATTTATGTGGGTGACATTTTTTATAGAGGAGCAATCCTTTCATTTGTTAGCATTCACTTGAACACTTATGATATGTTTAACTTTGTAATTATAAAAGTCTCATTTAAACATCATCTAAATCAGGTATGGGGGAGACTTAAGGTGTGATTCATTTTTAGGCAAATTCCACTCAGTTGCTCTCAAATTGCTCATCCTGAAGTCTAAATCCTAAGCTAAAGCTTTGGCTGAGTGCTCTGCCTTCCAGGCCCACTGGGGCAAAAGGGTCCTGTGTTCCAGACCCAAGGGGGTAGCAATCCTGTTGCCATAGCTTCGCTGGGCGGAGGTTCGGCCCCTAGGGCCCCAGGCTGCCCAGTCCCTACAGTGGTTCGTTCCGTGGCCAAGCTCTGCTTCTGAGGTGGCCCCGCTTCTGCTTGGTGTTCTGCGCCTGGGCTCATTCCAGCAGCTCCCCTCGCTGCAGTTCTGCGTTGCTGGCTCCCTGTGAAGCCCTTTCGGAGGCTTGCTGGGGCTTCTTATGTAAGAGGACTATCCTATTCCTGAGGACTCTGCCCTTGAGACCTAATCACCTCCCAGGGGTATAAGTTTGACCACCAGGCTGGTTATTTTAACCACTAACCTTAAACTAAGTTTCATAACCTCTGTGCTCCTCAGATTCTTCATATTCTTCACAAAATAATACCTACTGCTTAGAAATTTACAAATTAAATGAGATAAAGACTTGGTGAAATTTCTAAGGAAAACCAGGCAGATGATAAATACTTAATAAACAGCAATTGTTACTCACTGATGTTTATTCAAAAATCAGAAAGAATTAAGTATTGTAAAATTTTTTTGCCTTTGAAAAAAACATCTGAGCTTAAGGGTTGTTAGTATCTTTCATACCTATCATTTATTTTTTAAAAGTCACTTTTGTTTTCTATCAGTTCACAATCTTTTCTGTCTCTTTGAACGTGGTAAGCATAGTTATCTCAAAGTCTGTGTCTGATGACTCATATCTCTGTAGTCCTTGTGGGTCTCTTTCTATTGCCTGTTGTTTCTGTTCATTTTCATTCATGCATCTCTTTGAGTGCCTGATTGTTTTGATTATCTTCTGGGCATTATATTTGCAAAATCACTTGTAGAAATAATTTGATGTATATTTCTCTGAAAGGGTCACATCTCAAGACACTAATGATGTTCTGGCATCACTTAGTCCACCTCAGAGCTTGAGAAGGTTCAGAAATTCAAAGGGTTAAAGATTCAAAAGTTCAAAGATTCAGAGCCTGCAGTTCTCACTTCAGATCCAGTCTCTGCCTGGTGTGCAGGCTTTTGGTGTCTCAGTCCAGATTAAAGCTGTTCATAGTGCTCAGCATCCCCTCAAAAAGCAGCAAAAATCAGCAAAGACCCTCACTGGCCCTCTGTCCTCTGTTCTACCCCAGATCCTGGCCTGGTAATTCCTTGTTGTCTTGTTACTTGTCAGGTGGCTTCAAGTAGTATACTTGAAGTAAAGTACAGGTTTTCTATACTTTATCCAGTCTTCTATTTGTCCTCAGTAGGATTGTTCTAAACCACACCTTCTGTCAGTAAGACAGTTTCAAAAAGTGTCACATGCTAAAGTACTTTCCACATTGGACACTATATACTTTATAGTAAGAAAACTTCACCTGAAAATTTTTAAATGAAAATCGTGCCATTATCTTTAAGCAATACAATCAGTCTCTCTCTCTCTCTCTTTTTTTTTTTTTGGCAGCCATAAAATTGAATGTAAATAGCCATGAGATAGGAAGTTTTTTTCTAAAATGCATTTTAAACTAGTATCTAAATAATCTGAAGTTTATGCTCTTTTCCCTTAGATTTCCAGCTTGTTTAAAGATGTTTAGGCACACAGGTTATTGCAGTATATTAAATTGATCATTGGCTTCATAATTATAATCTTCTTTCTAAATGTTATTCAGTTCAGTTCAGTCGCTCAGTCGTGTCCGACTCTTTGTGACCCCATGAATCGTAGCACACCAGGCCTCCCTGTCCATCACAAACTCCCGGAGTCTACTCAGACTCATGCCCATCGAGTCAGTGATGCCATCCAGCCATCTCATCCTCTGTCGTCCCCTTCTCCTCCTGCCCCCAGTCCCTCCCAGCATCAGAGTCTTTTCGAACGAGTCAACTCTTCGCATGAGGTGGCCAAAGTATTGGAGTTTGAGCTTCAGCATCAGTCCTTCCAGTGAACACCCAGGACTTATCTCCTTCAGGATGGACTGGTTGGATCTCCTTGCAGTCCAAGGGACTCTCAAGAGTCTTCTCCAACACCATAGTTCAAAAGCATCAATTTTTCGGCACTCAGCTTTCTTCACAGTCCAACTCACATCCATACATGACCACTGGAAAAACCATAGCCTTGACCAGACGGACCTTTGTTGGCAAAGTAATGTCTCTGCTTTTTAAAATGCTATCTAGGTTGGTCATAACTTTCCTTCCGAGGAGTAAGCGTCTTTTAATTTCATGGCTGCAGTCACTATCTGCAGTGATTTTGGAGCCCTAAAAAACAAAGTCTGACACTGTTTCCACTGTCTCCCCATCTATTTCCCATGAAGTGATGGGACCAGATGCCATGATCTTAGTTTTCTGAATGTTGAGCTTTACGCCAACTTTTTCACTCTCCTCTTTCACTTTCATCAAGAGTCTTTTTAGTTCCTCTTCACTCTCTGCCATAAGGGTGGTGTCATCTGCATATCTGAGGTTATTGATATTAGGAATTAATTAATATTAGTTATTAATATTTTATTACTATATTCTAAATCGTTATGCAAAAGTTCTTATTCTAGGTCTTTCTATCCAATTTGTATTCTGGACATTGTACATTTTTACTAATATAGACTGTTATTCTGTTTCTCTGGCTATTTAAAGGAGAATGATGCAGTTTCAAAAATATAAAATAAAATAGGTAAATTTGTTTAATGTTTCCTTCTTTTCAGGCGGCATCCAGATTTTCTCAGTTCTTTCTCTGCAGTGCCACTGAATGCCATCAGCATTTCATATCTTTCTGCTCTCACTGTCCTGTCCTAATAAATCTTCTCAGATCTGAATAATCCTTCGCTTCATACTGTACCAGGAAGTGTTTTGTCATTATGTAGTTTTGAAGGCAACAGAGTAAGTCAGTGTAGATTTTAGAGCAGAACAGATCACTCAGATTTTTGCTTTAAAGTGAAAACCTTCCTGGGAAGTCATATCAGTGTCATGAATATGATACGTTGATTTCATTTGGCAGAGCACTTAGAGTTTTAAAACTGATATAACTTAGAGTTGGTTTCATCTTTTTTTTCTTTACAGTATATTCGTAACCTATCTAGATAAAAATTCTGTTTTAAAATTGTACTCTAAAATTTAAAAATTGTCATTTTCTTGTGCTTTAAATGTCCCTTTTCAAAAGATGATTTCAAATTATCTACTTAGGAGATACTTTAATAACTTTCTTTGAGAGATGTGAGTGCATGCTTTTGGGGTTTTGTTAGTCAGATATATTTAAGAATTCAAGTATTCAGGAAAGTATTATTTCTTGGTGTTATGAGTACATTCAGAAATGTGCTTATATGTGAAAGGTCTGAGTCTATAAACACTCGAGATCACTAATAGGATATTAAGATGAAAAAGAAAAGGGGTCAAGAAATTGATGAAAAGACTTCAACGTTACGAATCAGTGAGTGCAAAGTTAAACAATGAGATTACACTGTTAAAATTAGAATGTTTGATAATACCAAATTTATTAATAGATAAGGGTATGAATTTGGCCTTGAAGTACCAAATGAAATAGGGCAAAGGCTAACAGAATTTTGCCAAGAAAACACACTGGACATAGCTGACACCCTCTTCCAACAACACAAGAGAAGACTCTACACCTGGACATCACCAGATGTTCAACACCGAAATCAGATTGATTATATTCTTTGCAGCCAAAAATGGAGAAGCTCTCATACAGTCAGCAAAAACAAGACCAGGACCTGACTGTGGCTCAGATCATGAACTCCTTATTGCAAAGTTCAGACTTAAATTGAAGAAAGCAGGGAAAACCACTAGACCACTCAGGTATGACCTAAATCAGACCCCCAGTACTCTTGCCTGGAAAATCCCATGGATGTAGAAGCCTGGTAGGCTACAGTCCATGGGGTCGCAAAGAGTCAGACACGACTGAGCAACTTCTCTTTTTTTCTTTCTATGATTATACAGTGGAAGTGACAAATAGATTCAAGGGATTAGATCTGATAGAGGGCCTGAAGAACTATGGATGGAGGTTCATGATGTTGTACAGGAGGCAGTGATCAAGACCATCCCCAAGAAAAGAAATGCAAAAAGGCAAAATGGTTGTCTGAGGCAGCCTTACAAATAGCTGAGAAAAGAAGAGAAGCTAAAGGAAAAGGAGAAAAGGGAAGATATACCCATTTGAATGCAGAGTTCTAAAAATAGAAAGGAGAAATAAGAAAGCCTTCATCGGTGATCAATGCAAAGAAATAGAGGAAAACAATAGAATGGGAAAGACTAGAGATCTCTTCAAGAGAATTAGAGATACCAAGGGGACATTTCATGCAAAGATGGGCACAGTAAAGGACAGAAATGGTGTGGACCTAACAGAAGCAGAAAATATTAAGAAGAGGTGGCAAGAATACACAGAAGAACTGTACAAAAAATATCGTCATGACCCAGATAATCACGATGGTGTGATCACTCACCTAGAGGCAGACATCCTGGAATGCAGAGTCAAGTGGGCCTTAGGAAGCATCACTATGAGCAAAGCTAGTGGAGGTGATGGGATTCCAGTTGAGCTATTTCAAATCCTGAAAGATGATGCTGTGAAAGTGCTGCACTCAATATGCCAGCAAATTTGGAAAACTCAGCAGTGGCCACAGCACTGGAAAAGGTCAGTTTTCCTTCTAGTCCCAAAGAAAGGCAATGCCAAAGAATGTTCAAACTACCACACAATTGCACTCATCTCACACACTAGCAAAGTAATGCTGAAAATTCTCCAAGCCAGGCTTCAGCAGTACGTGAACCGTGAACTTCCAGATGTTCAAGCTGGATTTAGAAAAGGCAGAGGAACCAGAGATCAAATTGCCAACATCCGTTGGATCATCAAAAAAGCAAGAGAGTTGCGGAAAAACATCTACTTCTGCTTTATTGACTAGGCCAAAGCCTTTGTATGGATCACAATAAACTGTGGAAAATTATTCAAGAGATGGGAATACCAGACCACCTGACCTGCCTCTTGAGAAACCTATATGCAGATCAAGAAGCAACAGTTAGAACACTACATGGAACAACAGATTGGTTCCAAATCGGGAAAGGAGTACGTCAAGGCTGTATGTTGTCACCCTGCTTATTTAACTCACATGCAGAGTACATAATGTGATATGCCAGGCTGGATGAAGCACAAGGTGGAATCAAGATTGTGGGGAAAAGTATCAATAACCTCAGATATGCAGATGACACCACCCTTATGGCAGAAAGTGAAGAAGAACTGAAGAGCCTCTTGTTGAAAGTGAAAGAGGAGAGTGAAAAAGTTGGCTTAAAACTCAGCATTCAGAAAACTAAGATCATGGCATCTCATCCCATCCCTTCATGGCAAATAGATGGGGAAACAATGGAAGCAGTGACAGATTTTATTTTTCTGGGCTCCAAATTCACTGCAGATGGTGACTGCAGCCATAAAAGACCCTTGCTCCTTGGAAGAAAAGTTATGACCAACCTAGACAGCATATTAAAAAGCAGAGACATTACTTTGCCAATAAGAGTCTGTCTAGTCAGAGGGTATGGTTTTTCCAGTAGTCATGTATGTGTGAGTTGGATTTGAGAGTTCGACTATAAAGAAAGCTGAGCACTGAGGAAGTGATGCTTTTGAACTATGGTGTTGGAGAAGACTCTTGAGAGTGCCTTGGACTGCAGGGAGATCCAACCAGTCCATCCTAAAGGAGATCAGTCCTGAATATTCATTGTAAGGACTGATGTTGAGGCTAAAACTCCAGAGTTTGGCCACCTGATGCGAAGAACTGACTCATTGGAAAACACCCTGATGCTGGGAAAGACTGAAGGCAGGAGGAAAAGGGGATGACAGAGGATGAGATGGTTGGATGGCATCACCGAATTGATGGGCCTGAGTTTTAATTGAAAGCTATTTTAATTTTAACATGCATTTAAAAAGATGCATGTCCTATGATTTGGAAATTCCACTTCAAGCGTTTCCTCTGGCTTAGAGGAACACTTGAAAATATGCACATGTATGTGTATATATGTTTGTTCATTGGAGCATTGTTTATAACATTGAAAGTCTAGACTGTCTGAATGTTCCATAGTGGAGATAGCTAACTTGCTATTCAGCAGCTTCGAAAGAATGCCTCCAAGGAATCATCCTTCATCTTCAGTATTCCATACCATCAGGGTTCACTGGACCGATTTTTCAGCTTTTGAGTTTTTTAAAGGTCTTGCAAAGAACAAAGAGAAAATTTACTTTTCTTTTTTTTTTAAAGGAGAATAAAATTTATTCAGTCTTATATTCACCAGATGGGCCCACTTGACCCTTTTACAACTCTAAAATGCATTTTGAGATCTTTAATAATTTTTATCTTGCTTTTGTCTGGGATGCCTTACTATTGCATCATCCTAGGAATCATTTCATTACTGGTTATCAGTATTTCCAAGCATGCTGTAAAAATCTAAAATAAGAAGGAAGCTGGAAATACAGAAATGAGATAGAAGTCACTGTCATATCATTCTTCATTTTGCTCATTGTATTTGCCAAACAGTTACATCATCTTTCAAGAAGATATAAAAGTAAACTGGCGATGCCACTGTTTTAGTTTGTTTCTGACTTGGAGTGAATACAGTTGAGAATTCAGAATTTTTCTCTTTTCACTCATAATAGCAAAAAGAAAAAAACTGACAAAAGACATTTCATTTCATTATTAGATTATTCAAAAGATGAATTTGAAGAGAAAGATAGCAGTGCTCTAGATACTAATGATAGGAGAAGGCAATGGTAACCCACTCCAGTTCTCTTGCCTGGAAAATCCCATGGATGGAAGAGCCTGGTAGGCTGTAGTCCATGGGGTTGTGAAGAGTTGGACACGACTGAGTGACTTCACTTTCACTTTTCACCTTCATGCATTGGAGAAGGAAATGGCAACCCACTCCAGTGTTCTTGCCTGGAAAATCCCAGGGACGGTGGAGCCTGGTGGACTGCCATCGATGGGGTCACACAGAGGTGGACACGACTGAAGTGACTTAGCAGCAGCAGCAGATACTAATGATGGTAGTGAAATTTCTTGTATAAAACAAAATCTCAGATTATGAATGTGCAGATAATATATCTTAGGTGTGTGTGGATAATATATTTGTGAGGGCAAAGTGAAATGGAGTAGTCTTACTCAGTTTGTTATTCCAAAAGATGCACCCATCATGCAGTACTTAGTGACAAGATTGGAACCATCGTGATTTGCTAAAAACACATCTGAGAGTATTCTTTTATGATATTTGTGTCCTAAAACTTTGATACTGTTTGCTTGGGGATAGGTGCTAAAGCAGGAGAGTGAAAGAAAATAGATGATATAAAATAAAAGTACTCATTTGCTTGATTATTCTAATTGTCTTTATAAATACAGGTATGAAAATGTTTTGTAATTATGAAGCAAAGAAGATAGCTATCTTCTCTTTAACAAAATTATGAACTTTAAAAGATTTCAAAAAGTTCTTCAAACATTGCATTTTCATCACAAGTGGGAGAAGAACCAGAAATAAGGATAAGCTAGAACCTATTAGAAATGTATTGAACTTTAGACTTAGTATTTATAAGTGAGTATCGTCCATGTGCCTGCGTGACAGCTGATGAACTGTTACTTAGATTCATAGTGTGTTGCCCATTCCAGGTATATGGTTTAGTCACTAAGTTGTGTCCAACTCTTCTGCAACCCCATGGATTGTAGCCTGCCAGGCACCTCTGTCCATGGGATTTCCCATGCAAGAATGCTGGAATGGGGTTGTCATTTCCTTCTCCAGGGGATCTTCCTGACCCAGAGTTTGAACCTGGGTCTCCTGCACTGGCAGGCGGATTCCTTACCACTGAGCCACCAGGGAAGCCCTATATGTGCTTTAAAAACCTGGAAAATATGGACTAAAAATTTGAAATTTGCTATGTTTGGATTCTTATTAATTGTCATGACGTTTTCCCCTCACTATTATTTTTTTCTCAATTCTACATAGTACTTTTAAAATGACTTAGAAAGCTTTAAAGAAATAAAATGACAGAGTCCATTGGACCCACATGGTAAATGGTGAAGTCTATCTTTTATAGGTATCAAGGACTATTAAGGGGAGAAAAAAGTAGTTGTGGAATGATAAATTACAGTATGATTCTTGGTTTTTGTTGTTGTTTGTTTATTTTTTAAGAAGAAATCAGAAAGCGATACACTGAGTTTATGGAAACTTAAATGCATAGAAGAACATTGGGAAAGGTAGACACCAAACTGCTCTCAGTTGAACCCTCTGGGGAGGAGACTGAGAGAAGGCTGATGGTCACAAGAGCTCGGATAAGTCGATGAAGTTATCGGTAAAAACAGAAATATAAAACCTGAAAAAACAAACAAGGCAAATAAACATTTTTTATATCAAAAAAATGTAAAAGATACTAAAGACCATAGAAAGATGTTTTAATTAAACAGAATGTGAAACTTTTAGGTCATTCTGTCCCCAGGTCCAACATACAATTTATATGAATGTGATAATCTATAAGTAATTTTGCATGATTTTTAAAATTTTGTTTATTGCTTAAAATGATTTAAGTAGCAATAATCTGAACTGTAATTCTTTTTTTTTTAATGACTATATCTTAGAGAGTAGTAGAAAAAGAAAAAAAGAAAAAGGATCTTATAAGGGAGATCTCAGTTTTCTAAAGTTTGTGCTTCAGAGCACTGTAATTATCATAATTGTCTTTCCAGTTCTGAGTCTACATTTGAGTTTAAACTTTTATACTCAGCCTTGTCCTGAGCATATGTTCTTAAAGTCCATGTTTAAGGTTTGGTTATGTGTCTGACAGACTGTCCAGAAAAATCTTCATGATTTTTGAGATATTTTAAAAGTCTCTTTCCTTGCCTTGTCAATTGAAACATGCTTCTTCTCGCAGACCAGCTCTACAAGAAGAAAGGAAAATCCTAATAAAAAATGGCCGGCACCCTGTGATTGACGTGCTGCTGGGAGAGCAGGACCAGTTTGTTCCCAACAGTACAGATTTGTCAGTAAGTACCACATCATGTCAAAAATAGGTTGAAGATGATAACTTTGATCTTGAACTTTTAAATACCATATGATATTTTAAAAATTTACCCAGGTTTTACCTTTGGCTTTAAGTCAACTAACCCATGACCGTAGTTTTATATTCAACACCATATATGGCGTCAGTGCTATTTCCAATGAAAGATTATCCATAGAGGGAACAATTTAGCAACTAAAAGATTAGCCTTTATTAGTTATTCTTGGTAATCCAGCAAAAATATTATATATTTTTAAATGCCCACAGATGCTAATGGAGAGGAATCACACCATGATTTTGCAAATTCCTGTTGGTGTATAGTATAGGCTGTCTTATGGTCTGTTTTCAGATGTTTTGTGAAAGGATCACAGATGCTTCAGCTGATTTTAGTGATAAGAATTTTTGTCATTAAGAAAAAAAAGAATTTTTGTTGTATGGGCTAGGGTTCCCTTGTAGAACATTAATGATTTACAGTATTTATCCAACTAACACGTACTTACTGAGTATCTATTTAGCACCAGGTAGTGAAGCAGAGTATTAGGACAGACAGTAGAAATCAAGACAGAAGTATTCCCTGCCTATAGCGAGCTTGTGGTCTAGCAGTGAAGATAGATTATTATAATGTGACTCGCTCAGGCCAGGATTCAGGAGACTGGATGTCACAGAGCATGTAGCAGATTGACGTAACCCAGTGTTAGAGAGAGTGTTTTGGAAGCTTTCCCAGGGATGAGATATTGACTGAAGAGAGAGTGAGTCAGTGCAGACCAGGGAAATGGAGACGAGTATTCCAGGGCAGGAGCCAGGATGGTAGAGTCTGGGGCAGCGCCGGTGGGTTCAGAGAACTGAAAGATGTTGCGTAAGGTTGGGGCATAGAATATAAAGAAAAAGTGTCAGAAATAAGGAAGAGGCCAACTTGTTTAAAGCCGTGTTAAGGAGTTTAAAAGTTTTTATTTTTTTATTTTTCCTAAAGGATTGAGAATGCTAGCAAAAGAGTATTTAAGCCTGCAGAAAAAAGCGAACTTGTGTATGTTTGTTACACCGAGTTACCTTGTCCATGATAAACAGAGCCATGAGCTAATTCAAGTGATAAGGGTAATTTTATTCAGTAATATTGTTGCGTAGGAAAAAGAGTCTAGCTTGAACTGAGTACAGTTTGTGCAGAGATGTTTCTGTTTGTTCCGTCACTAACTCGTGGCCGACTCTTGGCCACCCCATGGTCTGTAGCACGCCAGGCTCCTCTGTCCTCCAGAGTTTGCGCAAATTCATGCCCGTTGAGTCGGTGTTGCCATCTAACCGCCTCCTTTGCCGCCGTTTCAGAGATGACTGGGTGTCTTCAAGTAAGAATGAGCAAGTAGGGAGGAGGGCTGGGCATGGGCAGGTTCACGGAAGTGGAAACAGAAAAATTGAGAAAAGGGGTTGGTTAATGTGAAACCCTTCTGGGTTTCATAATGGGCAGCTGTGGCTGATCCCCTCCCGTGGGGACTGAGAAGGACAGTGAGAGTTACTCCATGGGTGTTTGCATTTCAGAGAGGTGCCACACGCAGTTCTAAGTGGTGGAAGACTTACCTCTTAAAGGGGTTACAGAAAGGATTTATAAACACAGGATTTATGAAGTAACTGCTCAAAAAGTAGGTTTGATGTCTATCTTTCACTAGGTTTTGGCTGGAACAAATACAAATTCTTTCCTGGCAGTGTTGTGCTTTTGTAAGCAGGGACTTTAATGGGGACTGGGATCATCCCAAGATTGTGGCCTTGAGCTGTTAAGTAGAACTATATGCTGGCTTTTGTTCTAGTCTCTTAGTGGGGAGGGAATGAAATCATTTGTGCCGAGAGGGTTGCAGCTGTTATAGGCCAAGGTTGGGACGGAGTGGGCTCAGAGGAGCCTGACTAGCATTTGATCAAGGAGGGAGTCTCTGTCAACACAGTGAAATTATCTGGTGATGAGATGAGAGAATTAGCATGGAAGGAGTTGCTAAGTGAGGGAGGTTGTATTGGAGAATGAGGCTCCTGAATTCCAGATTCCAGAGGCAGTGTGTTGGGTGATGGAAAGATCCCAGGGATGGCCATGGATGGTGAGTAGCAGAAGTGGAGGAGGTCTTTGGAGAGGAGGAGATGGAGGAACAGCTTTTGAGAAAGAGGCATCCATAGGCGTGTTGAAATTGCCCAAATAACTTGATTTATAGTGGAATGTGAAGGTGGTCCAGGTGTCAGAGATTCCAAGAGATGGAGACTTGATGAGCTGGAGGTAGATGTAGATGCCTGTGGTGAAGACAAGTAGAGATGGAAAGGCTCTAAAGAAACAGATATGGGAGAACCTTTGAACCCTGAGATACAAATGATAGGATGTGGCAAAAAGCTCATCCTTAAAATGAGAAACCACAGGGGAGTAACAGCCAGCTTCAGCTCAAGTCAACGTGTGAAGGAAATGTTAAGTGAGGAGGTTAGAAACATGGAAGTCTTGGGGAATTTTTCAGAGGACAGTGGGAAAATTGAAATATAGGGAATCAGTTGGAAATTAGGTCAGACAAAGGAAACCCAGAAGAGCAAGGCAGTTGGGAATATCACAGAATATTCCATCTTGGGCTGTGTGCAAGGGTGACAGAGATGTGATCCTGCTAAATTTGATTGACCACAAGGGTGGGGCAAGTGAAAGGAAATACTTTGAATTATATCTAGTTTAATAATACATTTTTGATATTGCTGACAGAAAAAAAATGCACAATGTGAGAGCTGTGCATTAAGTTTTATGTGGGGCAAAATGAGGACTATAGCCCCGGAGATAGCGTTTCAGATAGCTCCGAGGAATTGCTCCAGAGACATGGGGGGAAGGCCATTGTTACGTATGATTTTAGTGAAGTGGGGTATGTGCAGCCAAGCACACATTTTGGCAGATGCTTACTGCTAGTCACAAGGAGCAGATGTCACCATTAATGATTTTAGTGCTGTTCTAGATATGAGGAGATGTAAGAATTGGGCTCAAAATCTTTTCCGGCAAATAAGCTAACTGTCTAAAGGCCTGGTCTGCCAGTTTTTCCCAAAGCCCAGAGTACCTGATTCCTGGTCTCCACCCTGAACTCCTTTCAGGGTGTGTTGGAGAACGGCAGCTGCAGCGGTTTATGGCTCAGTCCTCATAGAGACAAATGGAAGGTGGCAATTTTTAGCTGGCAGTATCATACAAAAACTTGGAGTAGTATGTAACCAGATCTCTGATGTCTGTAAACATGTTTATTCTCCTTAGAGAATTTGTAAGTTGCTTGATATATCAAACCAAGTTAACAGACACTAATGTATTTATTGTGTTTTATAGGAAGTCTCTGTGAACATAAGAATTCCTTTTTCAGTGTCCATGATACTAGTAAGGTGTAGCTTTTCTTGAGAAAATAATACAGCTGTTCCACTTAGTACCTTGGTTTACTTATAAATCACTTGAAGCATCATTTCCTATTATTATTCCCATCCCCATAAACACCAGTCAGCTTGATCTCAAGTATGTTATTCTTGACACTGAATTTTTATTTTTGTTTCCTTTTCATTCCCCTCCTTTCTTTTAAGTAATTTATTACACTATTTAAAACAGCAAAATTTGAGAAACTAAATTAGCCTAATGACAGGGATGTTTTAAAGAAACGTTGAACTCTTGTATTTAAATTTTTACAAAATAAATGGAGTGATTTATTCCAGCAAGCACTTCAGAATATTCCAGAATATTCATTTCTTTTACATATGCTTTTTCTAACTTGAGTAGGAGTTGATATAGAACTGTTGCTATGGCGAAGTACAGTCTTTTTTGCAGGGTATAAATTTCTATATAGGGATAGTGTTGAAGAAGAACTTACTATGTAAAACTCAATTTTAAATATTTTATAGGTGTTAATTATAAAATATACTCTGAAAATAATTTCCTGAAAGTCAGGTGGCATTATTGCCTTTGACAGACATGTAATTTTAAGAAATGGTCTTTTGTACATGTAATTATGACTCTGCTTTTCTGGATCTGTATTATATGAACTCATTATAATGTTTCTAAACAAGCCAAGTTACTGCCCACTTTTCCTCAACCAGTTTTAAGAATACTTATTTTTTTAGATACCCAACACTGAACAAAGGTCTGCCGTATAGCACAGGGAGCTATAGTCAATATCTTGTAATAACCTATAATGGAAAATAATCTGAAAAATAATATATGTGTATGTGTATAACTGAAGAATACTCATTTTTTCACATTTCACAATCTTGCATGATTTATAAATTTTTTGCTAGCATTGTTTTATGAATATTTTATTCTTATAGATTTTAACACAGTTACTTTATGTCAATATTGTGCTTGAATTTAGGCTTACAAAGAAGAGATATAATATCTCTAATCTGGTGTGAAATTGATCCAATTAAATTAATACCAATAGAATACTTATAAAGGCTATGAGGGACCTAATGGGCTATCCAGTAGAAAAATTGCAACAGACTTGAACAGGTGTATCAAAGTAGAAGATATCCAAATGGTCAATAAACAAACATTTTTTTGAACTGCTATATTGAGTTTCCTAGAGGAAAGAATCAAATATTAGCAAAGAATCAAGTAGAAAGGAAGTGTGGGGTACTTGTGGGACACTTGGTGGAGATCCCAAAATGAAGGTGGATGTAAAAGCCAAGACAGAGGGCTGAGATGGAGTTAGGGATTTAACAGTGATCATGATGCATGTTCAGGGAGCTTAGATTCTGGGTCTGTCTCTCAGGGAGATTGTATAAACATTAACGAAGGTTGAGGAAAAAGCCTTCTCAAGCATTGACATGAAAGGAATCATTTCACTGAAAGTGGGTTTAAATGAAGAGAACTTTTCAAGTATCTTTTAAATATATCCCTACCTAATGTTTAGCATTTAGTTATTGTTTCATCTGAACATCAAAAAAATAAAAATACAAAAAAAAATTTTTAAAGGTGCTGTTGTATATTTCTTTTTAGCCTTTGAGACCTTGCTCTGCTGCATC